TCATTCAGAGCCCGGAGGCACATCCTCGCCACCACCGTATCAGTGCAAAAGGTGAGAACCACATGCTGCTGCACCTTGCAAGGGCCCTGGCCACCTGAAGTGTGTATTTAGGCTCTGAACATGCCTATGAGCTCTAGGTACTCTGTCATCCTCAATCCAGTTCCCAAATTTCAGAGCTGCTTAGGCAGGTACTGTGCACCTACCTTCCTCACACAGGTGGCTGTGGCTATGGGAACAAGGCAGGGTTGAGAGCAACTGAGAGAACTTTCACATTAAACCAGAAATTCCTCAATTACCCCACCATTAAACAAGGGCAATTTAGGATGACAGTTTTTGACTCATCTTCAGAAAGGCTATACATACCTTGATTTTCATAAGCTTGGAAAGAAATTGGATTCGTGAAGCAACCATAAGATGAATAAAAAGCCCAGAAATCAGTCAGCAATGGTCTGCTGTAGAAAAAGATTCCTCAAGTTCTAAGCAGTCCTGGCCTAGTAAATCTGCAACCAGAAAGTGGGTTGGACAAGATTAGAACTTAAATTGATCACCAAAAGCCTGAGAAAAATTCTCAGCAGTAGAGGATGAAAGCCAGTAGACCAGACCACAAAACTTCACATGCATGTAATTCATCCTTATTACACAAATAAAAAAACTGAGGGGAAACAGCTTCAAAGCTGTTCTTCAAAACTGTTTGCACAAAAAAAAGTCTGGGAGCATGGGCTGAGAGATCAAAATATCATGCTACTGCAGGAAAACCCAAACCACAACCCTGGGGCACAAACTGGAGTGCAGTGTACAAGCCACCTGAACTAGTCTGGCTCTGCTCGGCATTAGCGAGAGCACGGCCGGAGCAGTGAATCACAGGAGAACGGCAAGAACGATGAAGGGCTCTAAAAAAAAAAAAAATTACCTCTCAGGAAAGAAATAGAATTTTAACTCGAGGAGCAATGACTGAAACAGGAACGACAACAAACTTCAGGTACATAAAAGGCTGTTGCAGAGAAGGTAAATGACCTGTTCTCTGTGGCCTGACGGACAGTCTAAATGGGCAGCAAAGGAGACAGATGGAGAACGTGGCAGGAGACTTGCTGTAAGGACAGGGAAGCACTGAAACAAAGACTGGAGTCTTCTGCCCCACAGGCAATCAGGCAAACAGTGACATAGCTGTAACAGGCAGGAGGACGGACCTGATCCTGTCCTTCATCCCTGCCAGCCCTGTTACTCTACAAAAGTAAGCATTTTGGCTGCTAAGGATTTTTTGGGGTTTGCCTTTTGATCTCCGAAAGGACTCCAGCAAATGCTGTTCACGTTACAGTTTCTTTCAGTTATTTCCCTCCTTTCCAATCAGATGACATAAGCACAGCTTTCAGAAATGCCAAACTTCCTAGGCAACACCTTTCTGCAATTTTTTTTATTCCCAAGACTAACAGTCACAGTGACACATTACCCCTTGCAACAACGAGGCCTTTCCAAACTGAAATCAGTCTTACTTCATCCAGAGGAGACAACTCCTCATTTTGTCTCACCCAAAACAAGGTAGGGTAAACAGTTCTGTGACCTTAACCAGCAGACTGGTTCATTTCCATAAACCAAGTTGCCTTTCAAATACCAGGGGATTATTTACCACTTCCAATTACAAACATGTGACTGCATTTAACCTCTGTGCTTAGAAAAGGGAACATTTTGCATTAATCAGGGCGATTAATCAGGGTTTAGTCTCAGCTAAAATCAGCTCAGTTAAGAACGATGAAAAAACAACCTAGTGCAATAGAACTCCACAACTGCAGACAGAATCCACAACTGCATGCAGAATCCCATATTGGCAGCGTCCTAAGGCACAGAAGTACAGAAGCACTCATCCTGTAAAAAAAGCACAGCAGAAGCTTCCACGTAGAGACTGACCGAAATACATAGACTACAAAGGCAGCACTTGCTGGGGCTCTGGACTGCAAGTTTCTGTGGGGCTTGTTCTTTTTGAATACACTGCGTATTTTAGTTCCACAATAACTTTTTTTTTTTTTTTTTAATGCAAGGCATGTTTTAATGTAAACATCCAGATTGTAGTAAGTTTTATAACAGTAAAAGCAGATCTATATGCTCAGATCTATTTTACAAGATTGCAAAGCCAAACACTGAGACCAGGCTTGAACACAGCATCTCTTGTCATACAATCAAAATACTGTACATCCAGAACACAGCTTGATGCTTCTCAAGTTCACCAGCATAACACCCTGTTTGTCAAACCTTCAGCGTTAGAAGTTTTTTCTAGCTACAAATGAGAAACAGAAATTCATCCATGACAAGTGCTTCCATCCTACAGACATCTCGCCAAGGGGCAAAAATGCCAAATGTGATGCTTTGGAGATTGATATGAGAGCGCAAGACCATCCTTACTAAAACATATATAAATTATACTTTAAACTTTGGCCAAAACTTTCAACAATTAAATATATTTCTACAGATATCTCCCCTCCAACATTCTGACTTAACTGTTCAGCAGATACACAACTAGGTGAACAGAACCTCACCACTCTATTTCCAAGTATTCCAAATTTGGAAACTCTTTAAAATCATTCTTTATTTTCTTCAGAGCCATTATTAATTTAAAGACATAGCTACGTTTTAAGAGTCAAATCCTCTTAGATAAAAGCAGAGATGCTTGCTTCAAGAGCAGGCCTTCATCGCAGGCCTTCATTGCGCATATTTCAACACACCACCTTGGGTCAGTCAGCAGATTTACTTTAAAAGCCACATGTTCAGAAAGACAGAATAGTCTTATGAATTATTTCGATGCACTCTCTGATTTCATCCTCCTTAATCACAAGCGGGGGTGCCAGCCGAATGATATCACCATGAGTAGGTTTGGCAAGAAGTCCATTATCACGAAGCCGCAAACACACCTTCCAGGCATCATAGTCTACAATTAAAGGAGAAAAAAAAAAAAAAAAAAAAAAAAAAAAAAAAAAAAAAAGACACTTATACTACAGCAGCAGAAGCGGCACAATTGTAGCACATGGTACGTGGGGCCAGATTGTAAGCTCCTTGCCATCTGGCAGTGAGAAGTGGTGTTCCCAAATGAAGTGGTCACTTCTGAACACCTGAGCAACTCCCCAGGATTTGCACTGAACATACAAGACTGCTGCAAAACTGCAGCTTGTCTGAAGGGACTCACAAGTTTGCCTCCAGCACACCAAGTTTTGCTCCCTCACAGCTGAGAGCTTGTCTAGATCTGGCAATAAATTTTTAAAAGTGAACCACGCAAAGGGGAGGCAAGAGAACATGTGGATAGGACTTCAGACAAGGTTATATTTATGCCTGGATTTCAGTGCATCATGTGTGTGTCTTAGGAAATCACACCACCTCCCTGCAGCACTTTGTCATTTAGCATATTCATGACAAAAATAATTGTCTGCTCTTCTTCTAAGTAGTGTTCTGATATAATTCAAGGTGTCAATCCCTAGAAACTCGTTCTCAGTCATTAGCTTTTTCCTTCCTTGTTCCCTCCTGAATTCATTGTACTCTTCTAACTATCCTGGAAACAACCAGCCTCAGCCAATCCTTCCATAATCTGACAGAAACTAGTGTTCCAGGTGTGGCCAGTTTTCTTCCAATGAGGAGACAAAATTTTTTGGGAGCTAGATTCACCATCAGGTTTGAACATTATCAAATCATAAAAGAATTCAAACCATTAAAAAAAAAAAATTATTCACACTTACTTAGTTAAAAAAATCAGGCACTTGAATAAATTTTCAGTACGTGCTACAGTCCTATAGCAGAGATCTAAACCCAAACATGCCTGTAAGCCATCCCCTACTCCATTAAGATACTTATGTTGCAAAATATTTTTTCATGCTATGATTGTGCAGTTGATTATATTTCCTCACCTTTGGTTTGTCGAATTACGATTGCATTTAATAGTCCCTTTCCTCTTACAGAAGTTACAATATCAGATGGTGTCTTCATGAGCTCATTTCTTAGTATGTTACCCATTATTTCTGCATTTTTAGCCAAGTCTTCCTCTTCAATTACCTAAAGGGAAGCGAGACCTACAGTCAACTGAAGGGCACTGCATTTGTTTTATGTACCATGCTGGAATGGGTGACTAATGACATTACAATTGCTGAGATACAAAAGCTGTGGCATCCAAAGTGTCACTGCAAAGGCTGCATATCCAAGAAGATTAGTATTAAGCCTTTATTCATTTGTGTTTACAAGAAACAATAATATCTCTGAAATTTTACTCTAACTGCTTTCATTTGTCGTTATTTACAAGTAAACGGTAAACCTCTGAAGAGTCTTATCTGTCTACATCCACATATTGGGTAATGATGAGGCTTTCTGAGAGGCTTGCATTACATGTAGTCAATTACACAGTCACAGAATAATTAAAATATGGACTCTGGACACAACATTTTACTAGCTTCTGTTTGAGCTCCAGCAGCATATATGTGTTATCAAGCCCACTGAGCAGCAGACTCTGCAATATGGTATAGGAAAACAAGACAATTTAAATATGTCCTTGTGAAACCAGCAGAACTATTTTACCAAAGTTACGTAAGCACCTTGAAACTTCCCCTAAATGAATTTTATTTTGTCATTTCAGACATTAAGGCCATAAGGACACAAAAATTAGGACACATTTCCAGTAAAGATTTCAAAAAATTTCAAATTTTGTGACCTACACAAACAGTTAACCACTGCCAATTTTCCATTCTTACTTAAAAGCTAGATGTCCACTCGTAGCATAACAAATAATATCATTTGTTTAAGCAAAGATGACATCAGTGTGACACCCTTTTTTCCTTGGAATTCTTGTATCTATTATGACACACAAACCTCCAGTGCTGCCATCGCAACACGGCAAGCTAGTGGGTTTCCTCCATATGTAGATCCATGTTCACCAGGCTTAATGGTCAGCATAACTTCATCATCGCATAGTACTGCTGAGACCTAAAATGGGAAGTACAGCCAATTCTTTAACATATATATATATATATATACTTAGAACAGTAAACTTAAATATCTCTGAGGCAAACTTTTCCTCAGGGCTCAGGAAAGGGTCATTTTCAGCTTATGGTGATAAATTACATTTACATTCCCAGCTCTGTATAGAGGAGAGCATATCTGACAATCACATAACAGCTTAATCCCTTAAATACACTTAGCTATAGTGCTAACATATAACTACAGTTGAAGGGCATTTCTCCAAACCGAATATTATTTCAAGAGTTTAAGCTTCAATACTCTGTTTAACAACTCAGAAATACCTTCCATCAGCCAAAATATTTCAAGGCATATTGTAATTTCCAGCC